ATATCAGCTGAAAGGCTGAGACGCTGCGGCATGCACACCAGACAGAGCTCGTTCAAACAGATCCTCCAGACGCCGTCGAGTCTTTATGTGGCTTTGTCTGATGTCGTTTCTCCTCGGACCTCCAGCCTTGAGTCCATCTGTCCTTGCTGGATCGTTTTGCCCATAAAAACACTCTGTGGAAATCTCTGAAGCACTCGAGACAGAGAGATGAGACAAGGATGTCCAGGCCTTGGGTGAGAGATATCCTGCAGCCACATCTAACAGTCTAAAACCAATCAAATTTGAGCTTGTGTACACTACTATTTGTTTTTTAAAAAGGTCTCTTCTGCTCAGCAAGGCTGCATTTATTTGATCAAAAATACAGTAAAAATTATGAAATATTATTATAATTTAAAACAGCTGTTTTCTATGTGAGTATCTGTTAAACTGTAATTTATTTCTATGATCGAAGCTGTATTTTCAGCATCATTCCTGCAGTCTTCAGTGTCACATGATCTTCAGAAATCAGTATAATATGCTGATTTGGTGCTCGAGAAGCATTTCTGATTATTATCAATCGTAATTATTCCACATGTTTGACCGGCGGTGCATGTTCAGACAACATTTGGTCATGCAAATGAATTGTGTATGTGTTTGAGCTGTGAATTTAATGATGGACCTGAGAGATGTCAGTCTCTTCCATCCAGCTCAATAGTATAGAGATGCTTTGTTCAAAATATTACACCATTTGGTACAAAAGATCGGATGATAATGGCCAAAAGTGCATTCAGTCTGAATCTGAAGGCCTCTGGGATGTGTCTGGATCTTCCTTTCTTCTTAAAAGAGAGATGTTGTTGAAAGCAGCCGTTTTCAACTCTAATTCAGTGCCAAGGACCTCAGGACCTTCTAACAAAATCGCTTCAGTATCTTGATGAGAAAGAGAGCCTGACGATCCAAGGTCACCGCATTCAAAACTCACTAACGGCAGAGAAATGTTCTCAAAAACAGAAATAAATCGCTCTGCGCCAAACATATAAATAATATAAACCGGACGTGTGGATTCAAAATGAATGAATCATAAATCTGCACACTTGGACTGCACTTAAAACACTTGTTTAAAGCTGCTTTGTGTTCGTGTTTATAAGTATTCTTAGTGTTTTAATAAGCTTTCCAAATCCTCACCGTCTTCAAAGAAACTGAATTATAAAAGCATTATTTTTTTTAGTGAGGAATCTATTTTTGGCAGAACGTGTAATATAAAACTTGTAACAACCTTCATAATGAAAGTAAATAAAAGATCCTTTAATGAACATCTGAAGGCTTTCTAACGTCGTCTCTCGCGTACTGCGAGTAAAAGAAAAGCTTTTTACAGGTTTCATTATCTTTAGCTTAAATGCAAAAATACTTACCAGATATGGTCATATTTAATGTATATAAGATGTATTTAAATGTTTTATAAAGCAGTCTCTTCTGCTTACCAAGTGTGGATTTATTTGATCAAAAAATATTGTAAAAATAGTCAAATATTATTATAATTTAAAACAGCTGTTTTCTATGTGAGTATCTGTTAAACTGTAATGTATTTCTGTGATGCGCAGCTGTATTTTCAGCATCATTCCTCCAGTCTTCAGCGTCACATGATCTTCAGAAATCATAATAATCAAGGTTATTATAGTTAACTAAAACTAAAAACATAAAAACAAATGACTTGAAATAAAATAACCATTAACTAAAATAAAATATTACAAATATAAAACATAAAACACATTACTACTTGAAATAAAATAACCATTAACTAAAAAATGTTTATATATATATATATATAATTTATTAATTTTTTTACTAAAAACTATTTTTTGTTACTAGAAATAAAATAATCATTAACTAAAATAAAATAAATTATATTAAAAAAATTAACTAAAACTAAAACTATAAAA